TTAGTTATGTACGGGTCCTATAGTCACTCTCCTTCACCTCTTTTAAATTAATTGAATTAGGCTATCACCCTCTGCCGTGATATCATTTACATTGCTTCCTGATTTGTAGCCCACACATCCCTCTCCCCCTTCCCACCCACACATCCCTCTCCCACTTCTCCCTGTCTTACACAATAAGTCCTGGAACAAACTTTTTGACCAGAAAAAACTCACCTTTTTTAATAAATTACATTGCACGAAATTCTGCTGTTTCATTAGAGAATGAAGGGTTTAAGTCGTGTTATCTGTCCTGTTTATCGTCGAAGCTTCTGGAAACGACAGAAGCAACGATGGTCCAGGAAATTATATAAGAGAGCACCTCAAGTATACGAGAGTAATATACTGCGTGAAATACCGGTAAGTATTAAACAACGAACACGCATTCCTTTAACGGAAATAAGGATAGCTGCGTTTCTTCATCTCTCCAAGACTACGGTTCCTTCGTGCGTCTATCGCTTTACACTATGCAGTCTCCGCAAAATACGATCCATTCAATGTTCTTGATGGCGTGGCCTCATCAGCATGGCGTGGCGTGACTGTTGGTTGGGCATCCAACCTCCCCTCCCGATTTTGCTCTGCTGATCTTTCTGTTGTTAACTCGCCCTAAGAGACCAAAGAGAGAGTAAAAATTTAGTTTAGCATTTCATTTAGTAGTTGCCAAGTAGGTTGTTCTCACACAAACCAAAAGAAAGCGAACACAATGAAGCACTCTTCGGAATTGTGTAGATCGACAGTAATCAGGCTGAGGTAAGAGTTCGTGAAAGGAGGTTTGAAGTTTTGTTTCGCACAAAATATTTAAGTGACGTTTTCAACTTTGCAGGTGTTCGGAGAAGACGTGCATATGTTTCTTGAAACGGACAGGAGTGGAATCAATTAATACCTAGGAGAATTCGACGTAAATGTAGAACTACTTCCTCTCCAAATCCTGGCCGACGGTGACGAGATGGCTAAGTGCAGGTAGTGGCCGTAGCGGGATTCGGACCGAAGGATCACGGGTTCGAGTCCCGCTCAGGCAATGGTTGTATTGTGTTCGGTCCTTTCAACACCCTATCACATCATTATGTGTCATCTCACAGTTATCATTTAGCACCGGTTTAGAAGCAATAGGCGGTCGCGCTAATCGACGCTAGTATTGCGACTTAAATTGAACCAGCAAAAAATCTTTATACAACTAAGAAGGGAAAATGGAACGGGATGCCAGTCGGGCTGTGCTTTTAGGGGCGGTGGGCTTAAAGGTAGGAAGGGTTGAAGCGCGGTATGCGGTCGTACATCCCAGCAAGCAGCGCAACGCGCAGGTACCTGGGGCGGCAAGCAGACACGGGGCGCTCGGCGCTGCCGGATGGGCTCGGCGGCGAGGCGCTGTTGAGGCGGGGACAGACTCTCTCGCGCTCCGTGTGCGCCGACCGGGGCCCAGGCGTGGCGTGAGGGCGGCGCGTGCGGGGCGGGTGCGGCGAGAGCAGGTTGCGGCGTGGTGCGCCGAGGGGCGGCGTCACGCGTCACCCACGGCAGACGCAGAGGCGGCGGCGGCCGGCCGCGGTGGCGATGGTGGTACGGGTAGGTGGCGGGGCGGGGCGGAGGCGCGGCCAGGCCGGCGTCTGCCGTGCGCCTGGGCTGACAGGCTGAGGCAGGCGCGCGGGCCGCCTCGCGCCTCCAACGGCGACTCGCCCTCTGCGTCTGCAAAGGGCCAGCGCGCAGCGTGAGCGGCACGAAATCCAAGGAGCGGAGCAATTTAAGGGGAGGCGGAAAGGTTTCACCTCCATCACGCACCTCGCGTCACAACTTCCCCTGTCTGCCTTGCAAGTTCCTCTCATAATTCCCCCCGCCATCGCCATCGGCGCACATCCTTCTCCCTCCTCAACTCACACACCTCGCCACTCCCTCTCCCCCCCTCAACTACATCCCTTCCTCCCCCGTCCCCACACACACTCTCTGCTCCCCTCCCACCTCCACACTGCTACCCCCTCCCCACTCTTCGCTCTCCTCTCCCTCACCACATCATCCCTCTCATTCCTTTGCACACCATGCCATCTCTCTCCCCACCTTACGTCCCATTCATCTCTCCTCTCTCACAACACGACCACACATATATTCATACATCATTCATACATTCAATATCTACTCTAGCGGTGCACTGCAATTCTTTCTTATAATATTGCATTACGTTCGTATAAAACTCTCATTCTGTTTTCAATAATTGAAGGTGACCCCTAATGAGAAGCGACGTGTTCCTGATTTCGGATAATGTTTAGTAACTCCTACAAAAGACGCAAGATATGAAATATTTTTGTCTGCGGAAAAGAAAAAAGTTATAGTTTCATCTCACTTTTTAAGCCACTGCTCAAAAATTCTGCAATTTCGGTATGCAAGGCACTTCGAAGACGCCGAGTCATTACTGATTCTTTGAGGGTAGGCTATTCGTGTATAGAGTTCTCAGCTTATATGGCGGTTTAGAGAATGCTACGCTTTGCTCCCAACATCGCACTGCTAAGGCATTTTAGTTTGTACGGGTCTAATAGTTCATCTCCTTCACTACTATTTAAATTAATTGAATTAGGCTATCAGCCCTGCCGGTGATATCTTTCCATTGTTCTGATTTCTAGCCCACACATCCCTCTCCCCCTCCCCAACACCACTTCCTCTCCACTTCTCCCTGTTTACACATAAGTCCTGAACAAACTTTTTGCAGAACTCACGCTTTATTATAAATTACACTTGCACGAAAAATTCTGTCTGTTTCATTAGAGAATGGAAGGGTTTGTCGTGTTATTGTCGTTTTATCGTCGAAGCTCTTGGACAACGACGAAGCAACGATGGGCCAGGAAATTATATAAGAGAGCACCTCAAGTAACGAGAGTAAGATACTCGCGTGAATACCGGTAAGTATAACAACGAACACGCATTCCTTTTAAACCCGGAAAATAAGGAATAGCCTGCGTTTCTCATCTCTCCAAGGACACGGTTCTCTGCGTCTATCCTTATAACTATGCAGTCTCGCCAATACGATCCATTCATGTCTTGAATGGCGTGGCTTCATCAGCATGGCGTGGACGTGACCTGTTGGTTGGGCATCCAACTCTTCGCCGATTTTGCTCTGCTGATCCTTTCTGTGTTAACGTCGCCTAAGAGACACGATGGATCATATTTGCGGATGTTTGCAAATTTTCAAATCGTGTCAAATGGTGTGAAGAAATTTATATAAGAAGTTTCCTACAGTTTTTACGTTTTAAACGTACTAAACAACTGTATTGCATGCAAAGCTATTTCTGGTGACACAACACACTTATGTTATAAATAGGTAATTTTAATTGTAGTCCTGTTTTGA